TTTATACACGAAATTGGATCTACCGAGCTAATTTATCGCTTAATGTATTGGAATTTCGGTTAGCGTATTAGGTTGCATAGAGCCACGGATTTTTATCTTCTTCGCGTCATCTATACCATTGTTTGCATGGAGCAAATCTACGAACTTCAGAGATGGAGTATTTTAGTAACTCAAATGAGAAAGTTGAAAAGAAGGTTTTGTTAGCATAATGAACTTTTACACTAAATTACTCAGGCGTTGTGGTAGCAAAGGAAAAATAATAAGTTTGTGAAATGTTCCGGGCAAGTCTTGTCAAGAGAAGATATTAAATTCAAGGAGAACTATTCAAATAATAATTAATTTTCCTTTGCTTGCCTTGCGAATTAATACGTACACGTAATTTACTGACTCATTATTCTAGGCAATTGCGATATTCATTAAAGGAGTTGATTTAGAACAATCCTGCTAAACATATTTTTTAATCACTTGTACTGCAACACTTTAAACATTTGTAGAATATAATGTAGTTCATTTCACTTTTCTACAGTATCATTTCAAGATCTATTTTATCTTCAGATGTCTGTTGGCTTCCTCTATGAGGAAAAAAGAACTAGTCATTACGAACCTGGAAATAAATATGTACTATATTATGGTACTCTCAAAATTACTTTTTCCCTCCACTTTTTTTAAATTATCATCTTTATTTTGAGCTTCACACTTTAAAAAATCATTGTGAAATTGAATACATGTAATTTCACTTTTTTCGAATTACATTTTTCAAATGAATTCACACTTATGAACAACCATTGTTTTAGAATTTGATCAGAACATATCTGGTCTTACTATAACTCTATCAATCATACACCGGAATTCTATGCCCAGGTGTGAAATGTAGGGTAGTGAGCAATAACATTGTAACGCACAATTAATAAACGTTGAGATTAATGGTGAATAGGGTTTGAGCAATCTGTGCCGTATTTATATTTTTCATCTTTGGTAATGTTCCTGGAGAGAATGTTGCAAATTCATTTTTTTAAAGTTTAGATCAAAAGATATTTCATTATTGACCGTTACAGTTAGAATACGTAACACTGATTGTGACAGAATGGAGAGTTCAAAATATATCTCATGTAGGTTATCTTATGATTCTGACCGCAAACCCTCTATTTGAAGCAGTAAAAACTTCCACCGATTTTAATGTGTCAAAAAGCAGCGACAAAACGCCACTTCTGTGGAGTGGGAGCAGATGTCCCGGCATAACCCGCTCGATTAGCTCTGTCGGAAACGGAAAGGGCAGGTTGCGGGACCGGTTCCATGACGCGGCGCCTCATCCGAGGTCAGCCACGGCAATCGTGTTGGACTCCGCATTATACGCTCGTATCGGGCGGGAAAGCCGTGTCCGCACACATGTTAGCATTTCTGCGGACGACGGCCTCCAATCAAGCGCGAACTCATTACGAGCGGAAACTTTTTCCGTAGCGCCGTAACGAGGGTCATCCAGAAGAGATGTCTCGCTCGAGTCGACCGTGGGGTCACCAGCACGATTTGACGGACTGCTGAGAAACCTACTTTCGTCCCTCCCTGCTCTAACAAATCTGCGTAGGTATTCAACCTATTTATCTACATCTCTCTCCTTTTTACATTGATTGATCATCTTGATAGAGTCTTTGGCTCTTTCATACACTGCAATTTGCTCTCAGAACAAAATTTTGTCTTCTTGCTTGCAGAATGGAGATACGTTTTTGCTCATGTACATATTTAAAACCCCAAGGGTTTACGTTTAAAAAGCTACATTTCTACTGAACTAAATTTCGTGATTTCTTCTTTAAATGAAAGCTCGTGGGGCGGAGACGTGTTAAAAGTTACACCAATGAATAGATTTTATAGTAAAATAACTAAATTTTATATCTTAATAGTTATGTAATATTTTAAAATTAATCGAATGAACGCATACCTAACGTCGTTTTGTTAATTTAAGATCAACTATATTCCACATAGTTCAGTGCAGAAACAAATATGGTGAGAGTTGAAGCTCAAGCTTCCTGTATGAGAACATATACATTATTTATTGAGTCCATTCATTATAATTTTGATTTTTCAGTTTCTTTCGCATTGACTTTTGTATTTAATTATTAGGTCATCGTTAAAACCATTATTTATTATTTTGCACGTTTTGGCGAGGGTCACGCTGACATCCTGAAAGTAATTGTGTAGTTTACAAAATTGTCCAGTTTGCTCCATCTGTCACATTTCATATAGAACGTCATCGGAGGCACTATCACAAGAGAAGGAATTTAGTCTACTTTCACTTCTACCATAAACGATTTTAAAGGGTTATACTTCATGATTGACACAATGCATCGAAATCTGTTCATAAGATCATCTTCAGACAAATGAAAAAGATTCTCATCTCTTCGTAAAATGTTGTGTATAAGTTATTCAGAATATTTTCTTGTATTAAGTTTTACTGTACGACAACGCGGCTGGTTTGAGAAAATTGTGTCTGAGGAAACATTCTTATACTTTGATGATTTGCAAAGCTCTCGGATAGTTTTGCCAATTACAACAGAATACAGTTTCTATAACTACGTACTTGGATCCCCAATTATGAATGCAATTTAGTTTTTTTCTATGTATTTTAAAGTCGATAGCTTTACATTTCTGAACCACTTTTGTGTTAATAAATAAATGTCTACATTCTTGATTTTGCTTAAGGTAATCGCACGGGTCCAGCTAGTTATAAATAATCGATGTCTTCCATATCGAAAGTTCTTTCGCCTTCTGCGTCCGATCAGTTCTGCTTCAAAGATCTTATCTAAAACAGTTGGTATACTGTTCACTCTTCCTATTTCAGTGTGCTGCGCATTTACTACTTTCTCTTCATGTGAAGCTAGAATACTATATCCAATCAACTTCTTCGGCTCGGAAGTCTCTCCATCGACGTTCTGCAGCTCCCACTTCGGTTAGCTTTTTTTTGGAGGGCGCTGTCTTCAACTGTCTGATTCGTCACGCACTCGCATACCATTCCTGCACTGTCATACTGAACGACTCATTCGTTTTTTTACTCCCTGCATCCCCAACACCTCTCCATCCTTCACGTCTTCATTGTGAGAAGCTTCACTTCCTGTCATACAAACGTGCGCCGCGTAAAACAAGGTGGGGGAATAGTTTTTTGGGCTCCCTTTTTCTGGGAACTTTGATATTTACATATGACATTTCTGTAGTAAATAAATAAAACATGTTGCGAAGAGAATGAAATTATAAGTCACATGATACAATGAACAAATACAATTGATTTTATTCTGAACATTTCTAGGTTTCCGGATGCTTCGGAGTGCTTTTTCCCCAAATATCGGATATCAGTTCGCAGTAATATCTACTTAAAAAAATGAAAATGAGGGATTTATCATATTTACAGAAATAAAATGTTTTATTACGCGTGTCTAAAGGTCCTGATTCAAAATTTTCCAGCGCAAATAAAATTATGTATTTAAAAAATTTAAAAAAAATACTTTGTCAACGTTTCGGAATGTTTTATTCCCAAGTGTATTCCCCATTCTCTGTGAGTAAATTCACAGTAAATAATAAATAATTTACCCAATTAAAAATGATACTGTTAAATGTTTGTTATATACTGTATTGAATTAAGTTAATAATACTGATTTTAAAAACCATGCTGAACTTCACATCAACTTTTCTCGAATAAAAATATGATTCACGAGACATTCCCCTTACTGAGCGATAGAACCTAACCACTCCGCAAATCAACTACAACTAACAAGGCTCCACGTGAATCACCTTCATGAAGAAATTATGCTTTTCTGATCTCATCGTATTTTGTAATGTGTGCCTACTTTTTACATTATTGATAAAAAACCGAGTTTACTAAGCATCTTACATTATTATAGTGAATAACTTTATTATTGAAAATAGTTATGAGCAGTTATGAGTATAAAATGACTCTACACTTTCAAATGCGATGAAATGAACTTTAAGAAACTCCTCTTACTATGAAGTGAGTCACAAGCCTAGCGAATACATTGGTTGGATTCGCGGAGAGGGACTATGGCATAAGGGGTTCTGTAGGAAGTATTATCTTGCCCCCAGGTCTTTTGTCGTCAGCTCACTACGCGCCCTCCGCCTCCTTTTCGAGTCCGTCATCATTTCTCGTTTCCCTTGTTGGATAATAATAACCTTTTTAGTTGCCACTTCATTGTCGCCGCGCCCAACGCCATCGCTACTCCCGTTGCCGCCGCCACCAATCTCGTCGCCGGCGGGGCCTGTGCTTTGTCGTCCGAGAGCCCAATTTCCTGCCCCAGATCGGGTTCAAACGTCTTCAGGTGCAGCTCGCGGCGGGCGGACACACGGGCCTCCGGCAGCCTCGTTCCACAGGCCTGCCCAAAATCCTCTTCGGCGCGTGGGCCTCGGGCCTCAGGTGTTCCATGAGTTTGTAATAAGGTCTGCATTCGCGCTTATTTTCTTCTTCGAATACTACTAAGTGGAAAAGAAATATACTGTCGCTCTATCAAGACGATAAGTCTTTGTATGCGTACCTGTGACGAATACGTGCTCTACCTGTAAACTTTTCCCTGTAAAGCTATGGATAAACACGATTCACAATTTATGTTTTTATTGCCTCCCATTACGTTGATCTTTTTTAAACGTCAGTTTTGAGTGTATAAAAACACCTCACATCCTTTTATTGATACATTTATGTGAAAACAATTCTAACAGCAAGCTTCTTTTGAACTGTGTCGTAAAAGATTCCCGTTTGTGAGAAGTAACTGCTGCAATAAACAAAAAAACAACCAAAAGCAGCTCAGCAAAATATCTTCAGATATGAACATTAGGTCCAAAAATGTCTAGATGTCAAAAACACATATCCGAAGACTGGAGAAAAGAACGAAAAATGGCCATGAGTGTGTGACAAATTGTATCCACCTGCTCCTTAGCTTTAATGAAGTCTGTTTCTGCCGTTGAAATTAAGGAACTAATAGAAGAGAATATTCTGGATATTCTACTTAGATATTTTCTAAATATTAAAAAAACAATATAATTTACAATATTAATCGTAACAGTAGACGTTAGTAAATGAGAGAAAGTAAGTGGAATTCCATTTTTAAGGTAAAGAATACATTGATCCTTGAAAAAAACTTCGAGTACATAAATTGTAGGCTATTTAATTCCCTTATTTCACATCATATCAGGTCAAAACTTGAGAAATGTAGATAGTTTTTGAATTATATGAACATAAAATGTAATAATTCCCCTTTTTCAATTTTTTGCTGTAAGCATCACATTTCGCGACACTCTTGAAGCTAAAACGTTGATTGGAGAAAAAACACAATATTCGTGCATTAAATGTTGGTAATTTCATATTTTTGCAAATAATTCATTTATGAAATATTGAGTTTTTTTAAATAAAGCTAAAAAGGTGGGATTTTTACTGTTTGTTTTGCTTAAAACATGGTTTCCAGACAAAATTATTTTTGGCAAATATAATATTTATGTTCAATAACTCAAAAAAAATGTAGAAACTACACATCAAAATTACATAAAAACTTTTACTTTTTTTCCACCTTTTGGCTGGACTAAACAGAAATGTTCATTCTCCAGCCAGCGCACATACATTTTTTGTTGTCAATGCAATTAATGTTCTCCTAGAAATTAAACGCTTCCATGAACTGCCGCGATGGTAATTATTCTTATGTAGGGGAAAATCCCAATAATAAATTATGTTTTTACGTTATTGTCGAAGATTACTCAGACACAAGTTCTCTTCTATTTACTTTTCATAAATCAATATATAATCTCCATTTATTTCTGCTCATGATTTTTTATTATTAGTTACGAAAAAAATTCTATCCCCTATGTTCCAGGAGTTCCTAACGAGAGAACGTGGAGAGAATTAATTAACAAGAAATCGTGATTCTATTGAAAAGTTAGAGGCATATATTTTCTACGTCGACAGTTGAATTACTTCGACCAAAGGGAAAAATATTGCTTTCGATATGTTCTTCGAACTGTATTCAGAATATCATTAACACTACGTATTCAGAGAAGAGAAACTTCGACTCCGAGTATGACGTGTAATTATTTTTCGAGTCATTTCTCTGAAAAGAGATTAGTTCTGATGTCTATCCCCTAAGAAAATTTTATTACTTAATCTTTTCTGGGAAAATACTTAACACCAATCTGTTTTGAGTACAAGCTTAAATGTAAAAGCTTCGTTCTTTTGAATTGTGGAGAAAATATTTAACTACGAGTTTGCTTAAGTATAGCACACAATGAATACTGGATTATTTTCCCGGAATAGAAGACCTTATTTACTACCTTCTATTTGAGAGGCGTATATTCTTTTTAACCTGAAGATTATGGAATAAAGGCAGTGGGTAGGATGCTCTCTTTTCGAGAGCAGGTACTCGGTCTGATCTCTCTGCTCGCACACGCCCTCGCTTCGCCTTGGAAAAGCCTTAGTGCAAACAAGTTTCGAGAGACCCTCGAATACATCACTCCCGAGGACGAGGCGCACCTTCAAGAACCACTCCCAAGAAGCCTTTGATCGTGTCATTGTTGCAAACTTGAACCGCAGCAGAGGCTGACCTAAAATCACGCCCTCCTGGCGACTCCCATGGGCGTGCCCCGTTTCGCATCCCGGAGGATTTCCCCATCTGAAGAGGTTCTCGGAATTGCAGTTGACATCTCCCTTCTGGTTCAGGCAAGAAGGCGATTAATATCAGTTGCGTGCGTCGATTCTATTACTGTTGGGTAACGGAACGCGAGAAATCGCATGAAAATCGCAAATGTGGGGAGGAAACGTGGTCACGAAAAGACAATGAACAAGCTATTTCGCGGAAGTGAGGCGCACAATCGAACATACAAATCCATAACTAATTTTCTCTGTTCAGAATAGATATAAAATTCATATGGGACACAAATTCAATATATGTTTTGAGTGTGCTATTTGATTATATTAATGTATATCTGAGCTCTATGGAAATTCTTTCGAAGTTAGAGCGAAATATAACTCGTGAGAATATAACAGGCTATATAATATTACAGTAATTGTTGGATACATAGTGTGTTGAATAGAAGTAACGAGTTTATTAAGATACGAGATTGTTGAATTGGTGACTGATAAATCAGAATATACGTATATAAATGAGGCAAGGATAAATAGTAAAGGTCTTATAACAAATAAAACTTGCAATCTGAATTAATAATAAATAAATTACTACAGTGTGGAAAGTATTATTCATATATTCCAAAGAATGTATTTCTATAAGAGAGTTGTATAATACTCCACAAAAATGGAATCTTTTATCGATCAAGAGCCAATTCGCACCTAATGGCAAAATAGCCCATGATGTATCTAGTACTATTCTTAATCGTTGAAATATAGAGATTTTTTTCGTAGTTCTGGGTATGTCACTGCTAACCTTTAACGACTACATATTCAGGATTACAGTAAATACAGCAAAACAAAAAGGCGAAATCGCCCGCCTCGCCCGGCACCGGTTGTAGCAACGAGCGGTCTCGCGGGGCGGCAGGCCCGCGGTCAAGTCGTGAGCGGGCGGTCACGCCGTCCGCGAGTCGGGAACTCCAGCGTTGCATAACAGCCCCCCCTCCCCCCTCTCCACCCATCCGCAACGCTCCCGCCCACCGACGCCTCGCCCTGCCACGTGCCGAGCACCGCCAACCGCACCGCCCCGCCCCGCCCGCTCCGCACACGCCTGGCATTCGCTGCGGTGGTCCACTGCTTCGCCCCGTCACCGCAACCACCGCCCCGCGTGCCCGCTCCCGCCCGCTTCCCGCCCCGCCCACCAACTACGCAACGCTGCTCTAATATACCTCCGCCCCCGTCCCGCTCTCACCCAGTGAGACGCTCGTACTACAGCCGCAGTTACTCTAAAAAGGGACCGTTTTGAGAGCGGAGAAACAAATGCAGACGACGACGTCCTTATGTAGTATCTCTCTATAACTCGTGCCTGCCGGCGGCTGTGGCCCTTCTGTGCCCCCCCCACCCCGCCGTGCTCCGCACACAGCATGCTAGTGCCCGCCACCTCGCTGCCCTCGCCACTGCCTCCGCTCTCGTCATCGCGCGACGCCCCCTGCGCCATCTCCACCTGCCACCGGCGGTCCGTGCTACTCTTCTCCCACCTTTTGCCCACCCGTTGCTGCCCCGACGCGAACTATTCCGCATTCCGCATCTACCAGATCGCTACATGCTGCCGCTTTGATTGTTGATCTAATTTGAGGCTTACGTCAATTACTACGGGCATTAGGCCCAAAAGTGAAGTGCAGTCAGTTTGCGGGCTTTTCCCTCTTTAGGTAATCTATTACAATAGAGGCACCGCCCGACGACAAGCTGTTTACTTACTCGATCTGGTCTCCTGACACTGGCGGAAGTGTAGATACGTTTAAGTGTGTTTCGTAAGGGGTGAGCAGGAGCAGAAGAGAACAACGAAATGGAAGGAAAGATCGCGGCTAAAGTGCAGTTCAACGACATTTTCACCTTGGTTTTTAATTTAAGAACGAAGGAACACTATGGATCAGAGCAGCCGGCCGTGGGAGAATTTCTCCTGCAGATAGTGGCTGCATTCGACGAGTAGGCTATTAGTCCAAAATCCCTCAGCAGTCGCAATCGACCCTACCTAGGAGCTTTCGGTCAGACTCCATCAGAAATGATGGTAATGCGACCTCTAAATAACTCAGCCTGTTACTGCACTCTGCCACCACCTGCAATTCCTCACTCCAACAACGTTCCGCACTGACACCAAAACTGGCGATACCGTCACCGCCTCTACTTCCTGTCGCATTGCGTTTAGTGATGGCAAATTTTATCAAAAAATCGATACGTCACAAAACGTTTTGCGATACTCGATTGAAACATCGAAGTTTTTAAATGTGATAAAACATTGTATTTTCCTTCCGTTTCATTTTATTAGATGTCCCTTCAATGAAATACTTATTATACTTTTATTGTTTGGTTACATGTAAGTAATATATATTTAATAATAATGTTTATGACGAATTGAAACACGGTGTTCTGGCTATTACACCATTTATTCAATTTCATTCGTAATAAATAAGAAAAACGTCCTGGTATCTAATAATCATAGTAATATTTAATTAATTAGCTTCAAAATAATACTGCCTTACATGGCACTCTGTGCACCTTAATTTTTTCTAATCAATATTCTATACAGCAGGCTCAAACATGCAAGTTGAACGATATTTAAACGACGTTACAATATATCGAAATTATTACAAACTTTTTAAAAAAACATAGATGTTTGTGGAAAAATATATCTATCTGAAGAAAAAAAGAACGATCGACAGACAAATAATCGATATTAATATATCAATGTTTTAAACAACGTTGATGTTTTTTGGCAATCCCCTAGCGGCATCTCCACACTCTGCTACCACACCCACGGGCGTCCTCGTTTTGCAACATCGTTCCCCCTGACAACGAGACCCGCACTGGTTTCGTCTTCGCCACCTTCCCTTCCGCCCTCACCCCTCCCCCCTCGCCCCTCCGCCACTCCGCCCCTCCGGCCACTTCCGCCCTTCCGCCCCTCCGCCCCTCCGCCCTCCGCACTTCCGCCACTCGCCACTCGGCACTCCGCCACTCCGCCACTCCGCCACTCCGCCACTCCGCCACTTCGCCACTTCGCCACTCCGCCACCACCGTCACACCGTCTCGCAGCCAACATCGTTCCCACTGACATCAAAACGTGCACTACCGTCTCTGCCACCTTCCCACCCGCCGCTCCGTCACCGCCGTTTTCCGCGGCCCAGAGCGGCGATTCAGTCGCTCCGCCCCCGCGCTTCGTCTTTCTCCTACACGCTGCGCCGTCCGTCCGCCCGCCCGCACACTTCCGACCGCCGCAGCCGAGTGGCCTCGGGCGAAAGACGAGTTGCCAGCGTCCACAGAGATTTCGCGGAAAAATCGCGTTCGTTCGCGAAAGACAAGGGAGCCTTCGCAGCTAAACGGTTCTCGGAAGGTGAAGAACACGGGCGGGGATGTTATTTTGTTGCTTGTGGTCAACGTGCTACGCAAATTCTTCTTATTTCTTATTAAGGGATAAGAGGAGGCAAATTATTAATTTGAGACTGTCATTAATTACGTTGCTCTCATATTTGTTGGAGGTATTCTTTAGTGTCTTTACCTATTTCCAAAGTAGTTTTCAACTTCAGAGGAAGCTCAATTACGTCGTTTTAGAGCAGACTTCATTATCTCAAGACTAATGAAGTTGCTAAATTAACCGTTGTATGGTAGATGTACATGTGTCTTGTCGCATAGAGTTCTCAAAATATTGGCCTGATTGGAACTAGAGAAAATATATTGTATTTTATTAATCCATTTATTTGTAGTATAAAAACCTCATGAAACGGATTTTACCAAACATTTTATACAGCATTAAACCAAAATCAATATAAATTCATTACGAAGATGCTATTTATAGTACATAACAAATAATTCTGTACTCGCATCAGAAATTATTTTATGACATTCGAAAAGCAATCTCGTGATCATCTGATATTGTCATGCACTCTTTGATATATGGTTTGGAGAGATGGTTTGTGCAATTTGGACCTTTTCAAGTTGTGAATGTGATTAGCATGGCCAAGAGATGTGACGCAGCGTCTTGACAGCTCGATCACTCATGGTGAATTCGAAACCCGGATTTTCCATATACGGATTGCAATGCCAAACTCGTCGTTGTGTTCACTATTACTCAACATCCGCATGTCTTTCATTGAAGGTTGCGCACTGAGCCACTGCCTTAAGTGTTTCAGATACATTACGTGTATATACAAAGAGTAAATTCAAATCTGGCACTTTTGTTCTTTCTACTTTATCTTTCTAAACTTGTTCTTAGTAAAATATGAAGTATCGATTACATGTCATACTGAAATTGTACTTAATGGAAGGTTATTAATATAAAATATAAAATGTTCAAGTAAAATAATAGTTTCGAACGTAATACTTTTGGAATAAATATACAATAATACAACATACATTGCAAGACTCGGAGCAAAAATTAACAGAAAATGTTTTTAAATCGTGAAAAGTAAAACTTGATTCGTTGATTTAGTAGTTTCTTGTATTTGTAAAAGAATTCATATCCCTGGAGACATCTTTCAATATTTTTGTTGCCTAAATAATCAAACTTTCCACTTGCTTTTTTGACTAAATCAATAATTCTTCAAACTCCGTGAAAAATATCATTGTATGTTTTGAAGGGAGTAGAACCATATTTTTTAAATTCTTATTCAGACACCTGTTACATCAGAAAAAGAATTGGTGTACCCTTTCCCCACAATAATCATTCTCTGAAAACATAAGAAAATATTTAATGTAATTTGCGTGAAGTAATAAAAATTAGCACTAAGGAGATATCGACACTTCGAAAATTTAGGCGGTGCACACTTTTCAATCTAAAGAACACTTTTTAGTGTATTTCTGCCGAAACATTTTAGTGGGAAAATAATCCATGTATTCATATTATTGTCACCTAAAGTTCGTAGGATTTTGCATGTGATGTGACTATGCAATGCACGCTGAATCACTAACTATTATATGTAGAAACGCAACTGTTTACGAGAAATTTTATACAATTGCACTTGCACAAGTTTAACCCAATTCTTGTAATTGATAGTACGTTGAAGCAAATCTCATTGTGTTTTGGAATACATCTGAAACATCTTAAGTTGTCTAATATAAACGAATTTTTGTAGTAAAAATATTTCCACTTGAAATGCAAATTATAATAATTTGGCACTTATGATGCCTTGCAACAAAGTCACAAGTAGCGCAGGTTCATATAATATCTTTCTTATTGTCGATCGCATTTTGACGTACAAAGAGATTCAATTCGATCATTCATTTGTGAGGACGCAGAAAATAAATAATTGGGATGAATAATTAGGGAAATCTTGTTAGATTTGCAGATTATCGAAACATCTTTCGAATCACTAAACATGAAATCTACAATAAATAACGTGCAAAAATAGCACTGGCAGATATCGCGAAAACATATGCTATATTTTTAATGCATCTTCCTTTTGCATCGACCAATTAATTATAGTAAATAACAGTTTTTTTAAATTTAAGCGGCGCTCATCGGTTTCCCTTCTATGGGAGCAAAACAAATAGTACGTGGCTCCATGTTTTAACACGATGCAAAATCTGTTCTGCAAGAGCCAACTGACAGGTACAAAAATGAAAATTGTGTTTGCCTCCGGGTAGTGACTGTTTTGTTGAAGTAACTGTCTAGTTTCTCAAAAAAGAGGAGTTCTGACGGCTGCACTCGACTACAAAAGTCAGGCAGCAGAGAGATCCGTCACTAGTTCTTTACTCCATATGTGCTGGAAATACAAATGCTGGAAAAATCTAGGAATCCAAACGAAGGTATATATAACACTGGGCCATATTAATAAGTAAACTAAACTGAGATGATATTCGTTTTTTCTGATTAATGTTCCCTTGTTACTTCCTTTGTTTTTGTTCATTCAACCTAACTGAAACATATATTTCTGACTTCAAAATAAAGTTACAAGATTACATGAAATATAAACAAGAAGTTTAAATTATACAAATTAATTACAAAATGTTATGTATAAAACATTGACATTGAATGCCTGATGCGCAAGCAAACTGGGTCGTACATACCTTGCAGAGTCTGGCCCGTAATCAAAGTTCTACGGTTTTTGGAGTTGGTGACTAATTATTATTATTATTATTATTATTATTATTATTATTATTATTATTATTATTATTATTATTAGCTGATGATGGGTGAATGGAGTAGGATGATGGTAGGAGGTGTTGGTTAGGGAGGTGGGAGGTGTTCGTGGGATTTTGGAACCAATCAGACTTCGCCTTTGTCCGGGTGAAACCACGAAATCCCCGGCCAGGAAGGCCGTCCCGGGGATCGACCGCGGACCTCCCGATTGCGAATCCAGCGCGCTACGTACTGAACCACTTTACTCGGTGTTGTAATTTATTATTACTCGTTATGTTGCTTTATATCAGTAACCAGTTAATTAAGTTGATTAATAATTTTGTTATCAGAGGGATTTTGATTATACCGATAAGGTGCCGGTTCATATCCGGCTACTACCACTTCATCATTACAGACCCTTTCAAAATTTTATCGACCCCCAGGGGACCTTTCCGCTCCCGTTGGGAACCACAGGTATAAGGTACATTATTTTACAACACTTTGCCAGATGACATTAAACGAATGAAAGCAGTATAAATATTTTAGTCCCTAGTAAAATTCGTTTCTAATGCATTCCTGTTCCTATACATTTAGAAATTATACCGAGCATCAAAAAGAAAATTAATATTAATTTTAACAATGATATTTCATTATCATTTACCATCGAACCGTGTAATTCTAATCAACCTGAAAGACGTATTATACCTCATCTACGGGGTCAATGACCCACATCTCCATCAGGTTTTTCGTCCGTGATCCTTTGAGCCGATCATATTGAGATGGGCCATTGTTTTGCTTCTGGATATGAATGTAACATCATTCTCTGTGCATGTCTTCCAGAGTTCAGTGGGAAGTATAATTATTAAAATTATCTTTCTCCATGTCACTGCGGCAGATATATATTCCTTCACGAAGGACATGATGAGGAATAATAACCCAAATCTATAGCTGATTTACTTTTTAAACCGATTTTATTACATCGAAGCGAATATTTTGTTAACAATTCTTGCCAAAACACCAATTTCCTTCTGTATTCAGAATTCAACTTGTATGTGATTTAGGAAAGAGGTTCGAGAATTAGGAAAACGTGTCTAGAATACACTTCTCCCCGTAGCACGTCACGCACTGTTTTTAACTGTTTTGACGTAAAATAAATAAATAAAAAGAAAAAATAATAAAACAGTGTAGTCTTTCGCTGCTTGATATATTAGAAATACCACCTTCCGGGCTCGAAATGCGTGGTCTATTGCACGTTTGGGCGAAAAATGTTTAATAGACCACGGCTATCCAACCCGAAAGGAAATATTAATTTAAAAAATAATAGTTAGGAGGACCGCTTGCGTTCCGATGCCTCTCCATAGCTGCGACAGAATTTCTTCCTACCTTCGTTTGGGCCGTCCACTCCTCCAGAGAGCTCGATGCTGTTGCGGAGAGTATCTGTAAATAGAATTAATTATTAATTACTTTAATTAATTAAAATAGATGAGATAGGGAGTGGAAAAGCTTTGAAGCCTTGAATATTCTTTGAAGTGTAAATCTATTTCAGTCGCTGGTATTTGGAATATTTTTAATAAAAATGATTTCGAATGCAAATATTGTTTCATTACCGTTGAGGAGGTCCATGAATTGAGCCTTTGGGAATTTTTATTGAGCAACGGCGGCAGTCAGTATCTATTTTACAAATTAAAGGCAAAACCAATATACTAAATTTATGCTTTGACTTACACAATGGAGAATGAATTAGATGTGATCCAACTTTCTCGTCTCTTCATTGCAATACTGAAATAATATTTTGAAAAATATTTTTTCAGGGATAACATTAGTAACAAACGATTTTTAATCCGATAATTCATAATCATATCACATCAATATGAGAAAAGATCGGACAGAATTATATGTAGATATTTCCGTCTGCGCGGCGTCGCCCCTGCCAAGACACGCTGTAAACCTCCGACAGGACTCTCCATATGACTGATAGTGTAGTGAATGTAAGTGTATGTGTGTATGGGGAGAGAGGACAAGATTAAGTAAAAGGTATGACACGTTCCGTGGCCCGTTTGTTTGGTTACTACTCCGGCATTTGCCTGATATTGTTCGGAGAAACCACGAAACACTATCGATTAAATCAGCTGGCTTCTAGATTTTCCTCCAGTCAGCGTTTGGATTCAAACAAGCTTCTTGACTAGTTTGGAAGAATCCACCATCGTCGGGATTAGAACTCTATGGACCTACGGTCACAGTCAATGGCAACAGTCGTTACCCCGACCTAACACAGCCAGTGCGTGATCTGGGCTGTCCGGGTGACGTCGCGTCGAAGGCTGTGTTGCCGACGTTCCGACCATCCTGTCGTGGTCTTCCTCAGGGCTGGTATGCGCCGTGATGGTCAGCGCTCGGGTGTATATTCATGTCTAGCCTATGACGTCATTTAACACAGCCAGTGCTGGGCTAGCCCAAGGAGTCACAGGAAGAAAAAGCAATCACCAGCCGGGCGACGGCCAGGCGCCCTCACACCCAGGAGGCCTGCTACCTCGGGAAAGAGAGAGAGAGGTCAAGAGCCACTGATCGCGAGGGTCCTCACCTCGGTGGCGGCGGCGCTTTCTAACGGCTCGGCGCGCGCCCTTCCGCAGCGCCTGCATTCCTTGCCCGCCTCCCCTCCCCCGCGCCGCGCAACACGTCCCCTGCCCCCCCCCCCCGCCACCACACTGTCGCCCCGCAGGCGACCTTGTCGCGCGGACGCGCGCGCGCTCGCGAGCCATCGAAAGTGGGCCCGCCCACCGCCGCCACGGACGCACTGCGCGGTGGGCGGCGTTTCGAGGAATGCGCTTTCGCGCCGCGTTGGAGAAGGCGGCTGCTCCGTGGAGTGCATTGAAATGCATGAGGTTCTACGTCGCAAATGTCAATGGAAGAAAGGCAAACAGGCACTTTATTTGTTTTATTTTTACTGATCCTTGTTATTGCCTTCGATACGTAGCTCGATGTTTATACTGTAAAACTTATCGAGTGGTTAAGGGGGAAATGTGAAAACAGTTGAATGACGCTACATGTTATCTTTCGGAGGGAATTATGGGCAATATGAATAGAAAAACCGAGTCATGTTAATATCTAGTTAATAAATAAGGAAAATTAATCATTACATTTTGATAAAGAATAAAATCTTGTGTATAGTTACGGCGTTAACTGACTCAAAGAATCATTATAACTCCTTTGGTGTATCAATAACTATTAAATTAAAATACATATTTGATTCTAGAAATTAATACATTGCAGAGTTTAAACAAACGAAGAGCATTATTAAGCAGTGGCTTGCTCTGTTTCGATTATATTGTCTTAAATGATATAACATTCGATAAGGGCATAATAATGCTTTTTATTTAATTACCTGTATTTTAATTCCTTGGACTTCGAGAATAATTATTCATTGTTACAATATTTTTTCAATTATGCTTATTTCAAAGCGTTGCGTTTTTTAGCATTCAGGATTCGTATGTTTTGCAATCACACATGTATTCATAAGAGTTTCTCAGTTTTTCTTAGATATTTGTAAAGGTATTTCCGAAGGTTAAAATAATGTTATCTGCGTATGAATGTGACATCAATTTTATTTCTAAAACAAACTATTAATAACTTCGTGAGAAAATTGATATGTTTTTTGGAATATAGTATTACAATAATTCAATGCTGTGACTTCTTTAATCGAAAAGTGTATTATCTTTGTGGACACAAATGATCAATTATTTCTAACTTACAAAAGTATTGCTTTTTATTTAGAAGTTGACAAGATTTAAATTTTACACACGATGTATCATTTTTGTCTCGTAATTCATTTTGACAGCCTTTATAACACCTCCAAGATTATTACTTCCTTATTCTATATTTTTTGCGCAATATAATATTTATTTATGTGCATGCATTTGACAAGTAATATATTGCAAATCTTTTGTTCGCAGGTATATTTCGCTGAATTGAATAATGACTGAATGCCTAATAACATAAAATAGAAGAAAACATCATTCTCGTATTTTGTGAGTATGGTTTTGCATTCTATAAATTTAACTCATTAATTTCTATTTTGTTCACGTGTTTATTCCCAAGTCTGCCTTCCAACACCTCCGACACATATTGGAGTTCCAAATATGTTCATTTCGCCATCAAACAAAATTTTCGCAATAGGAGAAGTCAATTCACATTTCCACCGACCCTGAGATTGGAATGGCATTTACTACACATTTGCTTCTGATTAGAAGTCGAAATAAGGTTCGAAGACATACGATTCGTTGACGTTTGTTTAATGTTTTCATTCAAACGGATGTACGACTGACTAGGCTCATTTACTTCAGTTCCATATATAGGTAGATTGATTATTGATTCCAAAAGGGTCAGATGCTAAAGTCGTTAGTCTCGTAAGTGAAGTGCATTTTTTTAATCGTGGATGGTGGTAGTGATCTTTCCCCGATGGATGTCGCTGACCTACGGCTTGCGGAGGTTCCCCAATCTGGTATCTCCTATCAGTGCGGCTCCGCCCCAGACGATACTAGCTCTAAAATCTCTGTTGGTCTCCGGCACGTGTGGTAGTGTAGAGTATGTAAATGTGGTTATAGGACAAGGAAGAGGAAGGAAAGATCGCGCGGGGTTCATCGCCCATTTGTTTAGGTACTGCCCCTGCATTCGTCCGATATTGTTGAGAGAAACCATGGAAAACTACTGGTCAGAGCAGCCGGTCACCAGAATTGTCCTAGCTATGTAGCCAGTGTCGAAAATTCTGTCACCGCAACGTCGGGACTCGATCTCGACGACACCACTCGGTCAAAGGCACAGCAGTGACATTCATTACGCCCTGAGCCACCTAAGCCTACACTTCTATCGATGCAGTCCTAGTTCTCCTGTGTGACCCTTTGAGTGACTAGTCAACGGAATTCACGGCGAGGAAGCAACTTCGATGAGTGAGTCGAAGGAGAGGGCCCCGGAACTAACTGGACAGCCTTCTTCGTTTGTCTTGGGAGAACCCGACCGGAATCTGGACCCGCCGAAGCAAACGGTTCCGGACTCGAACCACGTCCGTTGAGAAATGTAGGAGGATAGCGCGGGCCTTGGTATTCGAGGTTAGAAGCACACAAACTACAGTTAAGCGAGACACATTTCTTTACCTTAGTGGTAGTTAACTGGGAGAAGTATGTTGAACTAGACAGAATCGATTGCATGGAAGATTTGACCGAAGATGATTTATATTTTCATTTCAATACATTTCCACCGCACTATTTCAGATTTATTGAAAAGAAGCCAAGGAAAATAAAATAAAATCCGTTTATGTTATATTTTTATCCTGTTTATATATTAATATAAACTAGATGCTAATAGTATCATATTTTTTAATTTCATAGCTCCTGCCATGTTTTTTCTCCTAATACAAGCTCCATCTATGCTTCCTTGACAATATTTTTCTTGTCATTATTCACTTGATGAATAGTTTTTTTACTTCATCGTTGTCGATTTATCATCATACGTGCTCCCCGTTGCAGACGACACTGAAGCAACATGTATGCGTAGTCAAGGTATTCTTTTCATAATTTTGCAGTAATGCACACCAGTTTGCAGTGCAGGAAGTAAATTTCAAACTTTTAAGAATGTATAGGAACCGATTGAAATATTATTGCTAATTTCTGAAAAAAGTAAGAATACCTAGGAATGAAAGAACAACCACATCTTTCCGTGTGGATGTCGCGGGTCACGGACGTCATCTCGTATTCGCATACGCAATGCGGTGCGGTGCGAGTACATTCTTTAATCGCAACCTTCGCAGTAGGCCACGAAAACTTGAGCGATCAGAAGAACTGTAAATCCAAGGTTGGCTACGTGTACTTGAGTCTACTCTAAGGTGGACCTTGAGACTAGACACATGGGGACTTTTTGGCAGTGAGATCAACAGTTCGAGAAACCTTCGCGATACACCGCACGAAGGCCTTCTTGGATATAATACATTTTAATTGTGAAGGCGGCCACGACATGGCTCGCGAAGCACTAATGCTTTCACCAATGTTACTAATTTAACGGCCAATGGGACCAAAAAATCGAGCATGAAGTGTCATATGTTTTAACACCTATAATTGCGTGGTAATGAGGTGCCCGAGTGAATGAATGTGTGCGAACATGCGTGCTTTTATTTTATTTGCAAAATCTGTAGATAAAATAAATACACTGAGTTCAATTAGAGTAAATAGATCATTACAACAGTGAATTAAACAAACAATTATAAATTTCGGGTGCATCAAATATTTTATTTGTTTCTATTGAGCCTTGTTCATTGGTTTAGCTATGATTTGACGTAAAGGAGGGAAATAATTCAATAAAGATTGACAACATCATCCTCATGGGTACGTACATTCACATATCTTGGTGCACATGAAAACTCATAGACCCACAAGTTTATCAATTACATTCAATTCATGAGTATTAATATATGAAATTTATATGTTTCTATGTAAAGTGCTTAGGATAAATAATTTGCATTATGTTGGATATGATACAAAATAATTATGAAAGAAAATTCCGTGTTTAATCAAGGTTTTGAGTTTTCCACGTTTTGAACTTTTCGGAAGAAAGTATCAATTAGGAATTCAGACTTGCATTAAGGGGTGGGGTTCTTAATGGCCTCTACATAAGAGCGACGTGTTGACGTGCGTAAAGTAACTCGCGTCGTAAAATAACCCTATCTTATGCGATACAACACACGAGCGCTTTGGCCGTTCCGTATAAGATACTGAGTTAATGTACGACGCACGTTACCTTTTGCGCGTCAACGCAACGCTCGTGTGACACAGGCCCGGAGGCACCTGCCTTGAGACGCTCCGTAGCAGCCACCGCGACCCGACGCACCTCGCCGCGCCGCCAGCCGACCGCGTCTCCGCCCCCTCCTCTCGCTGATCACCTTGGAGCACATTCCAGCGCCCCGACCTGCCGGGCCCACCTGGCACGCCCGCCCGCCCTGCCCCGGCCGCCTCGGCCAGCCTCCGTGCGCCCTCCCGAACCGCGGCCAGTGGGCCAGCGAGCACCGCCATGCGGCAGCGGAGCTTGACTTACGAACGCGTGTTCGTTTTTTACGATAAAATGTGGAAAATAAAAGATTAAGCAGCGTGTAAAATAAAAGTAAAAACAAATTAAATGTGTTCGACCCGCTTTCTCAAAACCTGATTTCAAGGCTTCTTGATGTGCCTGTCCAAAAAATTTTTGTATAACTTTATTAGTATAGGGCTCGTTTTCCCAGCTACAATTTTCGAAATTTCTCATTACTCTCACCTTTTTTTCTTAATTGTTTGTATTTAGTTTTATAGTTTCATTCTGAAAATATAGTTATTTCTCAACGGTAATGAATAGCGAATGTTTCGAATTAATACACTCACAATTAAGGCTCTCATACAACTTTCGCCCTTTAAAACTACAAAAACTATTACAACTTTAAAAATAAAGAACCAGTGCGAACTCGTATTGAGTGCCCAATGGTACGTTTCACAGAAAATTATTCAGCCAAATATTTTAACCAAACAGGGATTTTATATCAATCTTTTTTGTTCGGTTTTACATTGCAAGTGGGTTGTATTTCGAAAAACTAAATCAAATATTTGTTTTTGTGAGTCGAAACTAATCAACCCATTGCTCGACCGGTCGAATGACCCTACACATTGATTAAAAGCCAAATTAGAGAATATCGATACATTTTAAAATAATAACGAATAAATGGTATATTTATCATTTAATTATTTTTGTGGTTGTTTATTTGATTAATTAAGCCATCCACTGAGAGAGGGAGCTAACCCACAAAATTCAAAACATAAATTTATTGACATATTCAATGTGTTCCTAATCGAATACTTTCATAAATCGATGTTTTAAATTTTGTGGGTTAGCTCCGTCAGTGGATGCCTCAGTTGAAATCTGCTCTTAGCCCCTCTCTTCGCACCAGTGAGCGCCGCCATGCCGCCACGCCACGCCGTCGCCACTGGGTCGACGAGCAGGTTGCTGCTCGCCTGGCAACACCGGGCCGCCTTGCACGCATTTCCCACCAAATGACGCCACACAAAAAAAGAAAAACAAAAAACCTCACTGTCCCATTAAAACACTCTTCGGAGTCCAGGCGTATCACAAAGAGAAGCAAGAGACGCGTCTCTGCCATAAAGATGCTTCTGCCTGATGTAAAACTTGCGAGATTCGGTGAAATGACGAGCTAAAAGAACTACTTTTCGTGTTTGGGATGCAACGTTATTGCAATTAACTGAAGGCAAACAAGGAAAAAATAATAGTACTTCGAGATTTTAGGACGCAACTGAACATTAAACAGAGGTAATTGGCTTCGTTTAGATAGTCATTTCAACGTTCTCATAGATTTATTTTGAGGGTATAGTTTACTATTTCAAGTATAAAACGTAGTTACAGGTACACGTTCTTAAATTATTATACCAGCAATTCAAGAGATATGCAAAAATTAGGTAGATAGTCTTCATTCTATGTGAATTACGTACGAGTATTTGTAACCAATAAATTTAAACATTACACTTCCACACAGATTATGTTGACATTTTTATGAAATTTCATGAAAATAGTTATTATCAACATTACAATCACATCTCCTTACAATGCATATGTTAGGTCATTTGTATTCAGTATTTGCATTGCAAATCGTGTGTATATTTACATGTCATGTTTCGTCAGATGAATTGAACTTACCACGCTTGTAATTGGCATTTCAAATGCAAAATGCCAGATAATAGTAGGTGTTTCGCATCACCAGTCGCTTTGAATATTTGTCTATCATGCCAACAGAATACCCAGTCGTTCATTAGAACATAACTACAGGTACAGTGAAACAATAGTTTGGAAAGTTGAGTAAGATTTCACTTTCTTCGTCTTACTTTTTAATTCACTGCAACTCCTTCGTCGATTTTTCTTTTACGCATCGGGGAAGTTGTCAAGATCAATAATTGCATGTAACAAATTTATTTGAAATCTATTTTAAACTGTGCGAAGGATAGTTGGTTACTAAGAAATTGCAGTCTTACATTCTCTATACTTGAAACTAGTACAAGATAAAGATAGTTCTGAGGAGTAAACACTTCTAACAAATCACTGAAGTGCCCCATTTGTCGTTGCAGTCACATGACGCCGCTCTCGTTAAGCACCGTCTTGCACGTTCTATAACTAGCGTAAACACGAACCGCCTCAGCAGCTAGCGTTGCCAACCGCCAAAAAGTAATAAGCAGTGAGGTCTACAGGAAAGCGAGAAGCCAGCCGCTCTGGGATGCAACATTGGCAACAAAAAATTGACATTCGAAATCAAACTTACATATTTGACATTAAAATGCCGATGTTAATAAAACATCGCACTAAAAACATTGATGTTTTTAAACACCAATGATTTTAAAACCTTAACGATAAATTTACCATTAATATTCATGAGAAAGGTCACAAGACATGCCAAGTCATCGGTCAAGTTTATTAATTTTTAACTGATATATGAACTGACAAAAAAAAATCAGAAAATGATCAAGGCAATAACCAACATTTTATTTTCTAACTTGATAATTCAAAACTAATATAGACTACATTTTTCGACCAAAACTCTATTTTCATTGTCCAACTTATAGATGTCTCATCACAAATTTTGATTACGATGGTGCTATTTTCTAAACAATTAAATATCAACCACGTAAAACATGAAACAAAAAATGTTAAATGTTGAAAAACTATCGGCTCAAAAATCGATATTAAATTCATAGATGATTTTATAGAAACACCGACGTTGAAAAAACATCGGCATAAAAAATCGATGATTTATACAAACTTCGACGTTGAAAACACATAGCCTTGAAAAATCTATATCAAACACATCAACGATTGTATAAAAACATCGATGTTTTAAAACATCAACGAAAACGTCGACGACTGCCGGAGCTGGGAGATTGGAATGGCCCGGTTGGCGTAAACAATTAACGCCAAGAGGAGAGCGCCTCGCGAACGACCATTAAAAAAACATCATTTGGGGTGAATACCAGAATTCGAAAGATTAGAACGCGAAAGGATGTAGGTATTGTAATGGCTTAAAACATCAACGTTTTACAAACATCAACGTTTTACAAACATCAACGTTCTAAAAACATCAACGTTTTAAAAACATCGACTTTTTAAAAACGTCGAGATGGGTATCGCATCTTCTAACCGCTGTTCTACGGGCGACTCGTGTCCCGCGTTGGTCGTTCGCGAGCGCTCCACTCTTGGTGCTAATTGTTTACGCCAACCGGGCCAGGCCACGCTGTCTGCTCCAGCGCCTCTGGCCTGCTTACCAACCGGTGGCTGCTGCTAACCAACCAGGCCCCGCGCACACCTGCCTACCGCATTGCAAGCGGGCAGCAACGATAAAGTTCATTATTGTCGCTCCCGAGAAATAGCAGAGTTCAATTGACATATAAAAAATATTTTTGCTGAGGATCAATCGTGTAATACGTTTTGGGGCTGTCAATGGCAGACATTTGTTTTGACGCAAATTAATGCAAACTTGGATTATTACGTAACGATTAATCAATTCTTGGACTTCAAAAAACAGATTCGTGTTTACTAAGAAGGGAGTCGGACATATCAATCATGATTATCGATGTAATTATGAATTAATATTTGAGACTATTTACTTTAATTTATGAAGATAATCATATATCACGGAAATCTTGGCAAACTATACCTAAATATTTTACGTAGCTGGTTTTGCCCATCTCCACTGCATTCTTAAGAAAATCCTCGATTCTTGTCGAGATACGAACACGTGCTGAGGTCATTCTGTTGGCACACGCAACAGCGATCTGGCTCGTGCGAGCACTGGAATGGAGGCTTAACGGCATAAACAAGAATCAGAGAAACGGGCGTGTGTGACTGCCTGTAGGTAGGGCGTCATGAAGAAAAAGACCTACCTGCTGTGTGAGTCTGTGTGAGTTCTGCTAACTCAAAAGCACAAAATAAAAACTCAGCCTGAACTGTAGAACTTTAACGAATCTAAATGGAACGTAGGCATGGTACGTCAAAAGAAAAATAATTGGGAAACAAAATAGGCATAGGGAAACGATTAGCTGTTACACAAAGAAGTCAATGCGTTATCTGCGGCTCCATTTTAAACCGAATAGTTTGTAATATTTTCTCTTACTACTCGGAGTGACTCGACAATCGATACTTGTTTGATCTGAGACGCCTGTGGTAAAGCTATACAAGTTTAAACTATGCACGACTGATCATATTGTCATAGATTCTTGCAGGAGGATTGAAAATTGTTAAATAATATCTAGAGTCATTTCGAGAAGGATTTAGAATTTTATTTATTTAATGAATCGCTTCGTTTTAATATTGACTCTCCCTATTGCACTCCTTTTTGCTGTTCAATCATTCGAAGTTTTTATTTTAACATTACTTTAACCCGTTCTAAATGTTTAATTCGGTACTAGAGGGAGAAACCTGATGAAGACTTAATCAATAAAATTTTACGAAACAATTCAGTTACATGACCATGTCCCACAATTTTAAGGTCTCTACACGACGCCACTACACAGAAAACGGTTTCCTTTCGGATATTTCAATTATTGCGTGGAGCCGCCATTTGCTACGTTAATACATACTCAAACGCTGTCGTTTCACAGTCACGGTGCGGCACAATACAGCACAATACCTCATCCTAAAAATGCGTTAAATGCAAAAGGAATATGAAAAGACGGCGAGATTCTTTGAATCTTGTCGACTGGGAAAGAAGTGCAGATCTGTATGCAAGTCACGCGAATGTCAATGGGAACCGGGCCGTTGGTGCGTGCCGTAAAAGCATTCTATTGGATGCCCGCGCGGTCTGAAGAGCACGCGCGAAAGCAATAACCCTCTAATGGCATTTTTCGTTTCAGATCCTCATCGCTCGACTGTCTTCTTTCTCGGCTGAAACGATCAAAGACTGTACTTTCATTTAATTGAATATCGTCCCATCTTCTTTTTGTATTGAAACAGACTACCAGTTACTCTCTTCTTCTTGCCATTGTACGTC